TGACAGTGTGAAGCCTGCTTGGGACTCTCTCTCTCTCTATCTCTCTCTCTCAAACTAAACAAAAATAAACGTAGCAAACAAACAAACAAATAAATAAAGGTTCATAAAGTCGTGAGCAGTTTAGTCTTGACACTGAAAGTATTTATCATGGGGGATATATAGCCACTGAATTAACTGTAAATGAGCTGCAGTTAGAGTCAGAGACACCTGGGCTCAAGTCCTGCCTCTGTTACTAAGCGGCTGTGTGACACCAGTAATTTCCTTTGGGAATAAGGTAACAAGCACTCACCTCCAGAGACTGTTAAGGATTCACTTGAGAAGTGCCCACTTTTATTAGCAGGACAGGAGTCAAGGGCAAGATCTGAAACACTCAGGGTACGTCTTCCTCTCCTCGCAGGGGCAGGGGTGGGCCCTACACCAACTCCAAGCTCCCCACTAGCCTTCTACCCCCTCAGCTCCTGCGGACATGTCAACTCCGCACTCAAGGGTTAGCCCTGCACACCAGGACTGAGCTTCCATTTCCCCGGATGTCCTCACCCGGCTGGACAGGGACAAGTGTCAGCCCAGGCACTCACTCCTCCCTGGGCCCAATGTTCACAGCCCTGACACCACCATCTACCTCGAGGTCACCAGCTCTCATCCCAGGATGCCTCTTTCCCTGCTATGTCCATCAGCGCGTGCACACACACACACACACACACACACACACGCTTGCACACATACATACTGCACACACTCTCCAGGCTGTCAGGTTCCCTTCCATTCTCTCACTCTGATGTCCTTAAGACTCTGCACACGCCCCAGTTTTTCTCATCACCCACCTCTTCTTAACACGGGAGGCCCTTCCACTGGTGATGAACCTGTAGAACACCGTCAGCAAAGTCGCCAGTGTCCAAACCCTCTCTGACAGGTGTCTTCTCTCTGCTCTTGCTGAAATCTGACCCCCTCAAGTGCTGGCTCTGCTCTCTCTTATACCCCTTGCACCACTGGGTCCTTGCTCCTCACTTCCAGATCATTCTCCACTCTCTCTGTCCCCAAAGTGCTCCAGTCTTGACTCTCATGTCATCAGACCATCTCCACGGCCACAGTCATCTACTGACCTCTGTCATTCCTCGCCATTCCTCATTTAATTCCTTCCCCGCTGTCCTCTCTCCAACACAATTTCTCTTTCTTGGCAATTTCAGCATACAACTGAGGAAGCTCCTGGCCTCTCCATTTCTTCCGTTCTTCTTCTGCAACAAACTTGTCTTCTGCTCTGCTTCAACCACTCGCTGTCACGGTCAAACCCCAGACCTCATCATTACTAATAACTGCAACTCCTGGAGGTCTCAATTTCAGGCATCTCATTTCTGAACAACAGCCCTTATCTTTTCAGTTCATTCTAGCGCCATTGATTCTGCCAGCTTTTCACTGTCCCTCGCTCCCACTGATATCCTACCTTTCATCCTTTTCCATTTTCAATTCCATGATCGCTTCTTACAAACACTTCCTTGTGCCTTCTTGTGTGTTCCTGGCTCTTTATCACTACACTCCGCTCGCTCATACCAACACTCATCCTACTGAATGTGGCTGGAAGAAGATCTGTCCCTGTGCTGACTGGTCTCACCGTGACGCCCAAGTAGGGCGTCTCTTCCTCGAACTTCCAACACCTCCTCTCCCATCCTCACTCTTCAGCTGAGACCCTGCTCCCAGACCACATCCATTCCCTGTCCAATCCACCTATCAAAATGTCCCTGCCTCCAGCCTGTTAGCACGCCATGCCCTGGCCTTTTCAGACCTAAAGCTGATCCCTTCACTCGTTCCCCAGATCCCCTCCCTTTATGCTTGCTCGAGGACATTGCCTCCTTTCTCTCCTGTATCATCCCCTTCTCCCCTTCTCCCTTAGACCATTCCCATCAGTGTAGATCCAGGCTGTTAATTCACCACAAAAACAAAACCAAACCTCTCTGACCCCACCTTCCAGTAGAACCAACAGTCGATTCTCAGCCTTCACCTTTCTGGACCCTACACTCTTGGTTTTCCTCCTCCATCACAAGTCGGCTTCTCTCTTTCTCTCACACTTCATATCCAATGCCTCGGAGAATCCTCTTTGGTCTCCCTTCAGAATGTATTCAGGATATTACCATTCTCACCACCTCTACCTGGAAGCCTGCACTAAATCCCTAGCAGGTCTCCCTCCTTCCAGCCTTGCCCTCTAAGTACCATTCTCAACGCAGCAGCCAGAGTGGTGCCACTAAAATGTTAACTCACACTCCTTTGCTCACAATCCTTAAGGGCTTCTCACTTCACTCCTGAAGATGGATGCAAGGCTTGGGGCGCCTGGGTGGCTCAGTCAGTCCAGCATCCAACTCTTGATTTAAGCTCAGGTCATGGTCTCACAGTTCATGAGTTCAAGCCCCACTGGCAGCATGGAGCCTACTTGGGATTCTCTCCCTCTCCCTCTCTCTCTCTGACCCTCCTCTGCTCGCTTGCTCTCTCTCTCAAAATAAATAAATTAATTAAAAAAAAAAAAGATGGGGTGCCTGGGCGGCTCAGTCGGTAAAGCATCTGACTTCGGCTCAGGTCATGATCTCACACTGTGAGTTCCAGCCCCGCATCGGGCTGTGTGCTGACAGCTCAGAGCCT